TTTTGTTTCCAGATAGAAGGGTAAAAAAATGTGTCATATTTTTACTGGCAAATGAGGTTCCAATGGTGTTAACGAGGCATCGTTGCATTGGGAAGACAAAGGGGGTCAGGTGAGAGATGGAAGCCACGGGGGTGGGGGGGGGTGTGCAGGAAGGGGGCTACCAGCAGCTTGAAACACGGCAGGACACGTGGGGGGCTAGGAACACAGCGTCGCGTGGACGTCGATTCGGAAGCTCGCAGCGACGTGAACCCCGGATCGTGTGCGGACGTTTCCCCTGACCCCTCGTGACCCCGCAGCTGCTAGAGGCTGCTACATTCACCAACAACAAATAAGTAAGCAAACAAAGCATTACAAATTTGATCCCATCCCCCGAGTGGCCACAATTAATTGAGAGGCCAGTGGAGGGAGTGAAACTTAACACCGCTCAGTAAACACAGATGCGATGAGATCCCCCGTGTAGCATTGCAGACTGTAGGGACACGTGCTGTCAGTGAGCACCTATTCAGACTGAATAGGGCATGCTGGGAGTGGCGTCGAGGAGCACGGCCACCATTGTCTCCCAACGGCCGATGTTGACTGCACCGCAGCACGTGCCCGCTGATGGGAGGAGACCCCCATGGCATCACAAATGGCAGCTCAACAAAGTGGTTTATCATCATCATCGTGTGGAAATTTCTAGCAGCGGCCAAACACTCTAAAACGCGTGACGTTGATTCTCAATGTGTGAGGAAATATAACCGGAGGACCCAGGGTAAAATCCCAACGACCAACTCCAAATATACAGCAGGCGTCAGGGTCGGGATTGAACCCACAAAGTCCTGTATACCAATCTAGATTTGAAGTTTTCGTGACTGCCTGCAGGAATCCATACTCTTTGGTTCTTTCGGTAAAGTCACGTAGGTATTAAATAAATTAAATCACGACGTTTCGGGCGCAATACAAGTGCCCTTCATCAGGTGGAAACAACCCCAGCAATACCAGGCGAGCAAATAAACATCTCCTCACCACCGAGGCGAGAATGAGAATTAGCCAAAAAAAATCTGAATATGAGCAGGGATCCTCCTGAAAATGAGTCTTGAGAGTCAGCGAGGCTTTCCTAGGTAAACAAAGGGCAGCAGCAGCAGCATCGTGCTGATCATTATCATCACGGGCAGCCTGGCCAACAGTCAAGTCCACTTTTGTCGGGATCGCAGCGCCAGTGCGATGGGGGGGGGGGGGTCACAAGTGCACACACTGCACCAATTTCACAAAGACAAAGATCCCCCGCATAGACTGGAGCAGACTGTTGGGGCAAGCTGTTTGCGAGTTGCAACCTACAAAGGTCGGCACGGTACAGTCCCACACACCCGCTTTGTTACGGCTTTAAGGCAGCTGCCAAACAAGCATTACTATTACAAAAAGACAAAGATCCTCCATATAGCCTTAACAGACTGTTGAGGCAAGTGCTGTTAGCGAGCACCTATGAAGGTCGGAACGGTACACGAGGGGGTGAATGGCCAGCACCACACCCGGGCGCATTGTCTACCAAGTGGCGATGTTTACACACCGCACCACATACTCATTTGAAGCTGAGTCGACCTAGGGGAGGCCCAGGAGCGGTTCACATAATCGTGGTGTTGACCGTGAGCCAGAATCGAACTCGGGCGCCAGCTAACCACTACGCCACCACTTCCCACCGATAGCGAGCAGCAACCTACAAAGGCCGGCACGGTACACTCGAACACACCTGCCTTGATACGCGCTAGATTGTCGGCCTTAAGGCAGTTGGCAAACAAGCATTACTATTACACACACACACGCGCACGCACGCGTGCAAACACACACAGCGAAGCATCATCACCCAGGAGGGACTGACCCCGCCTGCTTAATGCTGATTCAGAATCGATGGCGTGCACTGGTCAGAATTCCAAATGTTCTATCCCTCGAGGAGGCCTTAGTGAGTGGAGCGGGTCACGGCACCAGGCACGTTACGCAAACACGGCCGGATTCGCCCCGCTCTCTCCGTGACTTTCTCAAGGCCAAACCACCCCACGCGCAAAACCGCGCTGCGAGTGTTGCAGTCACCCCGTTACGCGGGCAAGGACGAAGATCTCCCCCCACTCCCCGCCGTAGCCTTTAACAGACTGTCGGAGCAAGCGCTGCGAGTCTATGTGTGTACATCGAACTTCTTTTGCACCGTACGTAGCCAACCGTGCTAATCGGCAGTTGGGTGAGTGTGTGAGTGACTATGTGAGTAGGTGAGTAACGACTGTTGTGAGTCTGTGTGTGTATGTTGAACTTCTTTTGCACCGCTCAAGTACACACTCACCCGCACGCACATATACACACGCACGCTCAACCATACACGCTCGCACACACCCCCACACAGTCAGAAATACTCACGCACGCACATATACACACATTCCGCACGTATACGCTCACACACACCCAAAAACAAAGACAAATATCCCCTGAATAGCTTGAACAGGCTGTAGGGACAAGTGCTGTGAGCGAGCGCCCTATGAAGGCTGGGATGGCACACGAGGGGTTGGTGATCAGCACCACGCCTGACCGCCTTTGCCTCCTCAGTGGCGATGTTTACACGCCGCACCAGTTTCTCATTTTAGGCAGAGTCGACCTAAGAGAGGACCAAAAGTGGTGAGCGGGGGAATCGTACTCGGGTCACCGGCTTCACAGCGCAAACCCCCTAACCCGCTGCACTACCACCCAAGACACACGCGCACACACAAAGATCCCCCGTATAGCCTTAACAGACTGTAGGGGCAAGTGCTGTTAGCGAGCACCTGTGAAGGCCGCAACGGTACACGAGGGGGTGGGTGGCCAGCACCACGCCCGGCCGCCTTTGTCTCCCTAGCGGCGATGTTTACACACCGCACCAGATACTCATTTGAGGCTGAGTCGACCTAGGGGAGGCCCAGGACCGGTTCAGATAATCGTCACTGGTGTTGGCCGTGAGCGGGAATCGAACCCGGGTCGCCAGTTTCGTAGCGCAGCGTGCTAACCGCTACACTACCGCTCAAGACACACGCGCACACACATACACACGCGCACATACGTGCGCACACACACACACGCGCGCGCACGCAGCACATTTGTGCTCACACTCAATGCGCGCGACTCACTTCCAGGACGGCAGTAAACAAACACCGCTGGAAAATGCGGTGGTCCAACGTTGCCCGGAGGCTGCCGGGCATGCAAGTGTTATCTCCCCTCCCCCACACAACAGCGCCGTCTGCAAATCCCTTGTTTGTTTATGCATTATTTTATTACGCTGCACCCGTGACCGCGCCAGGCCACCGTTAATTCTGCACCCGTGCCAGCGACAGAGAACCGCGCGGGGCGTCAGAGAAGCCCGACGCCGCTTGCCGCCGCCGCCGCCGCCCTCGGCGGAGAACCGGAACCGGCGCCGCCCCCGAGGTTGCCGGTGCCATTCCCCCCCAATCTCCCGGCGCGGCGGCTGAAGAAATAATGGCGCAGGTTTCTGAAAAACTGCCCCTCCACCGCCTCCGCCCGCGTTCAACCCAGCGGGCGTGAATGCGTTTGGCGGAAGGTCGCGTGCAGTGGGGTAAAGCGTGGGTGGCTCTCCAACCTCTTCCGTGACGCCAGGCCAGCGCGGAAGAGTAGGCCAAATCCCCTCTGCAGTGGGGCTCCGTCTGGAGCGAGCGGTGATGCGAGTGAGCAATTTCAGTCGTGTGCCTTTACACATTCACCTTTTACGAGCGTGCATAAGACAAAGACGCGAGTGTGCGAGCGAGCGCGCCAGCCAATTTAACCTCCGCATGTAAACCTTGTGACACCACCTGCCTGCTCCTGTGAGCGGTGTCATCCACTCTGCAGCGCACAAGGCACCGTGGTAATAATACACGGAGAAGGCGTGCGCTTCCACACACGCGTGCACGCATTTGTCTTGTGTGCGTGTGTGGATGTGTGTGTGTGGTTGTGTTTGTGTGTATGTGGATGGGTGTGATTGTGTGTGGATGTGTGTGCGTGGATGTGTGTGGTTGTGTGTGTGTGGATGTGTGTGGTTGTGTGTAGTTGTGTGTGTGGTTGTGTTTGTGTGTGCGTAGATGTGTGTGTGGTTGTGTGTGGATGTGTGTGATGTGTGTGGTTGGATGTGTGTGGCTGTGTGCATGTGGATGTGTGGTTGTGTGCATGTGTGGATGTGTGTGGTTGTGTGCGCGTGTGGATGTGTGGTTGTGTGCGTGTGTGGATGTGTGTGGTTGTGTGCGTGTGTGGATGTGTGTGATTGCGTGCATGTGTGTGGTTGTGTGTGTGAATGTGTGTGGTGATGGGTGTGGTTGTGGGTGTGGTTGTGTGTGTGGATGTGTGTGGTTGTGTGTGTGTGTGGCTGTGTGTGGATTTGTGTGGTTGTGTGTGTGGATGTGTGTAGTTGTGTGTGTGTGCGGGTCGTGTAGCACTACAAACCCAGCGACCCGAGTTTGATTCCCGTTCCCAGCCAACACTAATGACGATTATCTAAACCGGTCCTTGGTCTCCCCGAGGTCGACTCAGCCTCAAATGAGTACCTGGCGCGGTGCGTAAACATCTCCAATGGGAAGATAAAGGCGGGCGGGCGTGGTGTTAGCCGCCCACCCCCTCGTGTGCCGTTCCGGCCTTAATAGGTGCTCGCTAACAGCACTTGCCCATACAGTCTGTTAAGGCTACACGGGGGAGGATCTTTGTCTTTGTGTGCGGGTGGGGAGCGGTAGTGCAGTGGTTAGCGAACCCGGCGACCAAAGTTAAAATTCCCGCTCACGATCAATAAATACACAGTGGCGAATATTAGCACCGGTCCCGAGCCTGGCGAGATGTCGTAAACAACATCGGCGCCGAGAAGACAAAGGCGGCCGGGCACAGGCGCTGACCCGCCCACCCCCTCGTGTGCCGTCCCAGCCTGACCAAGCGCTCGCTAACGGCACTTTCCCCGCGACGACCTGCGCAGGCTACGCAGGAGGGGGGGGGGACCTTTGTCTGTGTTCTTGCGTGAGAGCCCGTCTCACCGTGATCCACCACGGCCTGCGGCGCCCTCTGCTGCCCGTCGTCGCTGCGTTTCTTGTTCTTGGCCTTCCACGCGTGGTAGACCTTGAGCCGGCGGTGGAACTCCTCGCGGCACGACTCCAGCAGGTCGATGTCTGCGGCCAAACACACACACAGACGCACACACTCGAGCTCAGCCTTATACACATTTTTCCACTGGCAGATCAGAGCCACCGAGTCGAGCCAGCAAGGAAGGGGGCAGGGGGGGGGGGGGGCGGGCTGGCACGGTACGGGTCGGTTTAACAAACCGGCGACCGGACCGTGCCACCCGCTCTTGCCTCGCGAGAAGACGTTCAAATCTGGCTCGGGGTCCAAGCAGGGCCGGGGGGGACGAGGCTTGGGGGATAACGACGCGGTCGTTTGCCGCGTGCGACTTCAGTCGATACGCCGCGAGGGTACCGGTCGGCGCGGCCGAGCCGTGAAGCATTATGTCCGCTCGTAGCAAAGGTTTTGCGGTTCGGAACCCTGCGTCCCGCTCCCCCCCACCCCTTCTCAGGGGTCAATACCCCCCAGGGCGTGTGGACCGCACTGCAAGAGGGAGCAGCGTGCGCGCGCTCGGCGTCACGATCCAAACTCGCAGCAACATTTTTATTTTAATCACATCGCAACATCGACCCCCAACTCTCCTCCCCCCTCTCCAACCCCCTCGCGTCCGTCTCTGAAACACGGCGCGCGTTTTGCCAAAGCCTCGTGTTGCCCTTCCGCCGTGGTTTATTCCACGCGGTGTGGAATCGAACCCGGGTTTTGGCTGCAACCGCGCGCGCTGGGACCCAATCCTCCCGACGCGAGGAGCCGCTGCTGCTCAATCCTTCCTCCCCCCCCACCCCCCAACGGCGTTTCGCCGCCACTCGTTTTATTATCCACGGCCTCCTCCGGTGTTTACGCCGATGTCTCTCTCTTGCAACGAGCGAGAGCGAGCGAGCGAGCGAGAGAGAGATATTTCATCTCAATGGGCCGCGGCAACTGCTTCTCGCATTAAAATCCCGAGCCCTTTATTACGCGCCGGACAGACGGAGCGAGAAGAGAACAACGCGTGAGAATGGGGAGCCCTAAATGAAAGCTACACAAGCTCGTGTAGATACAAAGACAAAGATCCCCCGCGCAGCCTTCAAGAGACTCGCTGGGGGGCAAGTGCCGTTCACGAGTGGCGTCTACGGAGGCCGGCACGGCACACTCAGGGGTGGCCAGCCAGCGCCACGGCCGGCTGCCGTTGTCTCCCTGGTGATGAATGTTTTTGAGGACCACACAGGTACTCATTTGAGACTTGGCTCGACCTTGAGGAGGTCCAGGACCGGTTCAGAGATTCGCCACCGATGTTTGCCAGTGCGCGGGTTTGGAATTCAGGTCTCCAGGAGTGCGCCCGATTCCCTTTCAGAGTTTAATTGACCTCGGTGCAAAGGGAGGAAAACGTAGCTCATCGCCAAGATCTGCGGGATTAGAGATACCCCCCCACACACACACACAGTGTGACCCAGTCTGGCACGCGCGGTAGGACCGTGAGCGCAAGAGTCCTACAAAAAACTATTCGGATGATCGGTGCGCCGTTCCACGTCGGCTTGGGACACCCGGCCAAAAACCCCGAACCCCACGGGAAAAGTCCTGCGACTCCGCAAGGCCTTTTGTGGGGACAAGAGCAATTAGACTGCAGTGCTGCAGCACGATTAGTAAAGAAGATGTCACATGGTCGTCATCGTTTCTTCCGGTGGTAGCGGTGACGTAACGTGGTTGGGCACGGGCCCTGGTGCAAGCAATGAAAAAAAATTTTTACCAGGCAAAGCCCTCTGAGCTATGTAGCTCTTTTTCAGAAACGACCTGGCAATAAAAAATTCTTGTTTTTTTAACGAAGTGGCTTATCGTGTGGAAATGTATAGCCACAGCCAAATACTCTATGTGCATGCTGATTCGACATGTGGAGGGAAAAACGGGAGGACACGGAGAAAAATCCACGGAACCGCGGGGAGAGAGAGAAAGAGAGAAACACGCAAACTCCAAATATACAGCAGGCGTCAGGGTCGGGATTGAACCCAGGCCCTCCTGTAGACCAGGCAAGGTAGTTAACATCTCACCACGGAGAGAGAGACACGCAAACTCCAAATATACAGCAGGCGTCAGGGTCGGGATTGAACCCAGGCCCTCCTGTAGACCAGGCAAGGTAGTTAACATCTCACCACGGAGAGAGAGACACGCAAACTCCAAATATACAGCAGGCGTCAGGGTCGGGATTGAACCCAGGCCCTCCTGTAGACCAGGCGAGGTAGTTAACATCTCACCACGGAGAGAGAGAGAGACACGCAAACTCCAAATATACAGCAGGCGTCAGGGTCGGGATTGAACCCAGGCCCTTCCTGTATACCAGGCGAGGTAGTTAACATCTCACCACCGTAGTGCCCTGAAACCAATCAAACAGGGCACCCTCCCCCACCAGCCTTCCTTCGATCCCCCCCCCCGCCCCCCACCAGAGTCCGACACCTGCACCTCTCTGGCCCACAAACCCCGGTGTAATTGGTCAGGTTGTTCTTGTTTGAGGATAGACGGGGTGTCCACGGAAGCAAATGGTGGAATTTCCCACCGTGGCTCGGGGATTGTAATTGAGATGGTTCTCCACCCCAGCAATCTACTGAGCGAGCGAGCGAGCGAGACGTCCAGACGTCGGTGAGACGCTGCGGAGACGGAGACTAAAGCAGACACAGGAGCGGCGGTGGCGGAAGGCATTGGCGAGGCGAGGAGAGCGGAGAGCTGGGAGAGGATAGCGGAGAGTGGATAGCGGGGGCGCTAAACCACGGAGAGAGGCTCCAGCCAACAGCGTTTAACTAAAACAGCTGGCCATGACTCCCAGTAAATCACAATAATTTGTTTATGATAAACTGCCCTGGCCAGTTCTCTCCTCCACTGAGCAGCGTCAATACATTTCAGCCAAGTTTAATGTCCTCAACAAATTGGTTTGCAAAGGAGAGAATTAATATTAATTCCTAAAAATGTTCGGAGGAACCACATGTGCTCCGACACCGGAGCCGAACAACGCTGCCACAAGCGGCGTGACGGTCGGCGCTGGTTTGTTCAATGCCCCAGCAACATCGTCCACCCCAGCTGCGTAACATGGGTTCGCCACGGGTCAGAGTAACATGGGTTTGCCACGTTTAGCGAAGCATGGGTTCAAGTGTGGTAGAGCCAGGCCGAAAAAAAATCCCATCTACTCGCGGAGGGCACCTTCGGCCAGCAGTGGTGAGAGCAGGCGAGTGCCGGTTGGTTGGGCCTTTTACCTCGCTCGCTCCCATCATGCCGTGCGAAACGTAAGAGCTCGCCCACACTCGGGCGGCAGGCAAGGCTGGCCCTTACTGGGCATCTGTGAAAAAAAGAGCTTTTCATCTCATCGGATTCCTCCGGTCTGAATAAAGATTCCGGGTACTGGTCGGCGTCGCCTCTCTCCCTACCCCCTCGACGTGCGATGCAGCAGTGGAGAAGCACTGAGCGGATGGGCGGGCGGGGGGTGGGCGGGCGGGGGGGTGGGCGGGCGGGGGGGTGGGCGAAGGGGGGGTGGGCGAAGGGGGGGTGGGCGAAGGGGTGGGGGAGCGTCGTGACAGCTATGCGGCTACGACTACGGAACGCGGACGCGGCGACCTATCCACGGCCTCCTCCCCACCCCCGCCCCTCGGAGGCCGCGCGGCCCCCCGGAAACGAGAGGCTACAATCGGCACGAGCGGCCACGCAACGACCACCGCCACCACCACCACCAGCTGATTTAAGTCGAGACCGCCCCCAACAATTTAAGTCAACTCCGCTCGGCATTAACTAAAATCGCACCGCTTACAACCACGGGCGCGGTGCTTTTGTTTCGTCAGCGCTGATTGTCACTGTTGCCGGTTGCCACGTAATCATCCGCTTCCGTTTGCCAAGAACATTCCCTGGGTCACGCAGCGCATGGCGGCCTCCTCCTTGGCATGATTTGAAATCAACTTAAAAGCAGCGCCGGAACACGCAAGGGTAATTGCGGAGTGTCGAGCACTGCAGCAGGCCGTCCCCAGCTGATGAGACTCACTTAAGTCGAAGACAGCACACAGCAGCCTTGTGAATAAATACAGGGCACGGGAGAATTCGCTGATCTGGGAGAACCTTGTCCAAGTTTTGTAATCGTATATTCCATGGTGGTGATTCAAAGCCCCCTTTAGCGCACTGCTACTACAAATCCAGCCCCCCCCGAGTTGGATTCCCAGCCGTGGCTAACGACACCAATGGGGAGTGACGTCTGACCCGACGTGAACTAGCGAGCCCACCGGCGGCTTCACCGACCCGCACTGACCAGCATGGTGAAGTAAGGCCCTTTTCCAACTGATTCGCTATGAAAGTTTATGGCTGTTTTTTATATTTTTTGCGCATTTCGGACACCACAATGTTTACCGAGCTCACCCCGTGGCACTGGTTTTAGAGGCCAGATCCTGCTGACGATGCTCTTGAATCGTAAAACCCACCGCGGTAGCTCGGAGATGCTAACCACCTCGCCTGGTATGCAGAAGGTCATGGGTTTGATTCCGACCCTGATGCCTGCTGTATATTTTGAGTTTGCGTGTCTCTCTCTCATCACCATCATCATGATCACGGTAGCTCGGAGATGCTAACTACCTCACCTGGTATGCAGAAAGTCGTGGGTTCGATTCCGACCCTGATGCCTGCTGTATATTTGGAGTCTGCACATCTCTCTCTCATTATCACCCCGGTGGCTAGGAGATGCTAACCACCTCGCCTGGTTTACAGGAGGTCGTGGGTTCGATCCCGACCCTGACGCCTGCTTCTGTATATTTGGAATTTGCGTGTCTCTCTCTCTCTCTCATCATCATCATGGTGGCAGGGAGATGTTAACTACCTCGCATAATATACAGGAGGTCGTGGGTTAGATCCCAATCTGACACCGACTGTATATTTGGAGTTTGCGATGTGTGTCTCTCACTATCTCCCCGTGGCCACGTGGATTTTTCCCCGGGTCCCTCCGGTTTTTCCCTCCACGTCAAGAATTAACGTCAGGCTTTTAAGAGTATTCGGCTGCTGCCATAAAGTACCAAAAAAATGTGTTTAATAGTCTAAACAAGCGCCAGCCACTTGG